TCCATCGTATGCAGAAGTGCGTCAGCTCTCATCTTGAGAATCAAAGCGTCCGATAAGGCCGAATAGGCACGTTAAAGATCCTCTTGTCTTGTTGACGATGAGTAAATCGGGAACGCATGTCCGGTTAGTAGTCCTACCACTCCTCTGAGTTTTTGCCCTCTGCAATTGCAGCAATGCTTTTACCAGTCTTGGTGAGGGTTGTTTCATCATAAGTTTACTATGTCTGGCACTGCTAGAGTTTATCCACTTCTCCTTTTGTTTTGTTTGGATCCATTCTGCGATCGAGGATTCTATATTTGTTTTTGTTATCCAAAGTATAGGTTCGGGGCCTATGTTTGATCTTGCAGATCCTCCTCTGCTTTCTCGTTACCCAAAATTCCCCTGTGCCCTGGCACCCAAGATATCATCAGGTTGTTGTGTTTCCCCAGGTTTTGGAGATTTTGGATGCATTCACTGACTAATTTTGATGTGATTCTTTTACATGCTAATGCTTTAATTGCTGCTTGGCTATCAGATATTATGAGGATTCTTTTGCCAGTGTACCCTTTTTTACGATTTTCTAGAGCACGAGCATTGATGGCATGGATTTCTGCTTGAAAGACCGAAGTGTACTTCCCTAATGAGTTTGAATGCTCATGTTTTGGGTTTGTACAGAAAACTCCTGAAACGGTTCCTTCGTTTGTTTTGGAGTCATCGGTATACCATATCATTGTATCTAATGCTCTCCTGTGTTCTTCCTCTCCTTTATAGTCTGTTGAGACTTTGTAGGAAGTTGTGAAGAATGTTTCCGGGATCATATAATCAGTCCCCATTTCTAATAATGGGTGTCTGATTTTGTTGATTATGGGTGTATGCCCGAATACTCCTTTCCAATTTAATTGTTTCTGGAGCCTACTTAGGAGGCTTAGGAGGCTCACTTGAGCTATTCCTATCCTCTACTTGTATGAATATTTCCAATGGAGGTAGGTTTAGCAGAGTTTCTAATGCATTTGTAAGGGTTGTTCTCATTGCCCTTGTGATACATAGGTTTGCTAGTCTTTGTATGCTGCCTAATGTTTGGGTAGCTACTTAAGTTGAGCTTTGTTCCACCTGATTAGTGATCCATAGGTTATTCTGTGTCTTATTTCTGCCGTGTATAGCCAATAGGCCATTTTCGGTTTTAATCCCCAAGATTTGCCTAAGGTCCTTCTTGTGGACATTAGCGATATTTTACTTTTTGTTATAGTATGTTGCAGGTGAAGGTTCCAGGTTAATTTCTTATCAAAGATTATTCCTAAATATTTGACCTCATTTTTTAGTTGCAGCATTTCGTTATAGAAACATAATCCTTGTATTTCTATATTTCTTTTCTTGGTGAAAGCAATTAAGGTGGGTTTTGAGGGGTTTACTTTAAGTCCCTGTTTTAAACACCATTGTTCCACCAGATTTAGTGCTCTTTGGGTGAGCTCTTTTATTGTTGAATCGAATTTTCCCCTGACTAGTATGACAATGTCATCTACATAGCCTTGGGTGTAAATTCCGCTTTCATTTAGTTTACATATGAGGTCGTCCACTACCACATTCCACAGCAGAGGCGAGAGTATTCCTCCTTGCGGACACCCTCTCGCCACTGCTGCTTCTACTTTTTCGTGGAACATGGAGGTCTGCACTTTTCTGCTTTTTAGCATTGATTCTATCCATCTGCAGCAGGTTTTGTAGGTTTCAGTGATGTAACCGTTGCTTCGAAAAGAGTATTGTCAAATGCTCCTTCAATTTCTAAGAAGGTTCCCAATGCTATTGCTTGGGTGTTCAGTGAATCCTCTATTTGTATCGTCAATTGTTGTAGTGCTGATTCACATGATTTTCCTTTCTGATAGGCCTGTTGATAATGATGTTTGTGAAGGGGTTTTTCTTTTAGAGAACTGCCCCCTAATGTTTCTCAACTAGCCTTTCACGTGTTTTGAGTAGCAAGGATGTTAGACTAATCGGGCTTTATGATTTTGCGTCTGTGTAGTTATTCCGAGCTACTTTAGGAATGAAAACTTCTTTTACAGTTCTCTATATGCTTGGGATGTATCCCATTGCCAGGCAGCTTCTGTATACTTTTACAAGTAGGGGTATTAGTATTATCCCTTTGTAGAAGTACTGGGTATATCCCGTCTGTTCCTTGAGATTTGAATGGGCTAAGGTTATCGATAGCCCATTCAATCTTATCATAGGTGATTACTGTTTTGGCTATTTGCCAATCTTCCCTGCTGGCTTTGTGGCCTTTGGCGGGTTCAGCACTCTCCTTTATCTCCAGGTTGGCAATAGTTTTTGATTCCGGAAAGTGTGTGCTTATTAGGATTTCTAATGTTTCCTTTCTGTTCTGTGTATGTTTTCTATCTGTTTTTTTTTTTTTTTTAGTGTTCCGATGGAGTTATAGGGTCTCAAAAGGAGTAAAACGTTAGTAAATTGCGAACATTAGAGGTCTTTTGAATCGTTAATTAATAGTGGGATGAAATTTTAATTAACTCAAAATCAACGGCGGACAGGAATAATAGATTTGTCGAATTAGCTGTAACGACCAAAGTTGTTGACGTGACGAGGTTGAGGGAGGAGCCGTAGAAGAAAGAAAGTGCGGGTTTCTTTTCGGAAGGGGTGATAAATTACAAGCAAAAGGAATTACGAGTAATATCAGAGAAGGGGAGACCACTGAACAAACAAACTTGAGACAAAAAGTAATCGCAATAAATTGCCTCCCGATCCGAAGAATCGTAGCAATTCATCTTTGAGGTTTAGCCCTCGAACCACCCCCCACCCTCCTAGGGTGATGGGGAATAGGAGACTATCCCCCGTTTCCAAGCCGGCCACCCCAGTTATTTTCCTCACCCCTTCCGGCCGAGGAGGGTACGTGGGAGTGGCCCGACCCACGCCCATTTTCACCCCTCCATTCTCTTCTCTTCACTTAACAAACTCCCTCCCAAAGGCATTAAATCTTTTTGTAAACAGTCTTTAAGGATTACAAGGCACAAATTACCCAGTTATATTAAAAAAGAAGAAAAAAGGCAAAAGGTACAATAAAAACACCTACACAATTATTAGCATCCTATTATTTTGGAATAATAATGAATGGCTACCACCGATACACAAATATATTTATTTATAGGTGTCTTTTTTAATAACTGAAATTTTTAAGACTAATTTGTCTTGGGGTTTAAAAAAAGTAAATTGATTACTTATTTAAACAATTAGGACGTTTTGGAAATTTACCCCCAAGTATACCAAAAGATAACAGTATTTTACAATATATTATTATAAGGCTTGCATTTCTAAAAAATTGTTATAATGAAATTATTATTACAGTCAAAAAAGGAGAAAAAAAGGCAAAAGATACAATAAAAACACCTACACAATTATTAGCATCTTATATTTTATAGGTGTTTTTTTTAATAACTGAAATTTTTAACGCTGATTTGTCTTTTTAATATTTGATTTTTGTTTAAAAAAATCCATGTGGTTTAAACAAATATAAGTTTATTCCTTATTTGAATATTTTGAAAATTTACCCCCCAAGTATAAGAAATTATATTAGTATTTTACAATATATTATTATAAAGCTTGCCTTTTTAAAAATTTATTATAATGAAATTATTATTACTGTCAAAATAGAAGAAAAAAGTCAAAAGATACAATAAAAACACCTACACAATTATTAGCATCCTATTATTTTGAAATAATGGCTACCACCGATAAACAAATATATTTATTTTATAGGTGTCTTTTTAATAACTGAAATTTTTAAGATTAATTTGCCTTTTTAATATTTGGTTTTTGTTTAAAAAAACAATTCCATGTGGTTTAAAAAAAAGTAGATTTATTATTTATTTAAACATTTATAAGGAGTTTCGGAAATTTACTCCTAAGTATACCAAAAGATATCAGTATTTTACAATAAATTATTATAAGGCTTACCTTTTTAAAAAATTATTATATTGAAATTATTATTACTATCATGAAAAATTATTTTTAATTTTTACAAATTATTGTGATTATAATACAATATCCAATATCATCCCGCTCGTGACACGAACTTTTTCATCCGAAACAAGACCTTAGATAAAACGAATAATTAATTGAAATAATTAATATGGTCAATAATGACCTCTAAACATATATGGATTATTACAACATAATGAAAAATTTAATAATTTTTGTATGGGGTAAGCCTTTAAAAACATGTTGCAAAATCTAATAATGGCTAATACGGAGACCGTTAGGCAAAAAAGATACTAATATCCTTTATTATACTTATGTCTTTTAAAATTATAGATGCTGATGATGGGTGTAAATTCCCGAAGCGCTAAATAAAAACCCACATGGATTTTTTAACAAAAAGCGAATACAAAAAATACATTATCCATTAAATGATATATATTTCATTTCTTCCCTTTCGCTCTCTTCAATAAAACTTAAGATCCTCTTTTACCATATATGGCTCAAAGATTTCTCGAATCTACGTTTTCTTTCTTTATAGATATAACGCTCTAGACATATATGTATATCCATAGACATATTTTGTTTAACATTATTTGTGTTTTTTTTTTGGGGGGGGGGCGTCGGAGGCGGCAACGGTTGACACGGTGCTCTCACAGTTAAGGTTTACCCTTAGTAAAGGTCCCGGGTTCGAATCCAGCGGCCCTACATTCGGACCCAACATACATACAAATAGTTTTTTCAAAAACACCGACTTATAGCCTAAGTTGGAATACCCTCGTTAAAAAAGTGTGTTGTTTAGCGATCGGTGGTCCAATAAATGGTTGAAGCACTGAGGAGCGGTCAGGTTAAAATTTCAGAAAAACACCTTTTTCATTTTATTGCCGACGTTTTGACCTTCATTATGATCATCTTCATGGACTGGGTGAATTACAACTAAACTTACACTAAAATTACAACAAAATCCTCCAGCAAACGTATGGCCATCTCAATCCAACAAGAAGAAATAGACATGTACACGTATAAATCTCGCCTGAATAATTCACCTGCATCCCCCAAATTGTATGGAGCTGTCAAAGCCCACATACCCGGACATCTTTTGATACCAATAATTTCTTTTGCAAATTCCTCGACATACAGTCTATCAAAATACCTCACCAACATAGTCAATATTATCGCAGACACCACATACCATATAAAAGACTAATTTCATTTCTCTAAAATTCTAGACGTCTCACCACTTTTCACAAGCATCCAAATAGAATTGACACTTGACATTATCAAAGACAAATTGGACAACATAACATCACACACAAATCTCTCACAAAACTTCTGCATAACAATGTTAAGGACACTGCTGCAGAAACGGTTATTTCACTTACAACAACCATTTCTATAAACAATTATTCGGCGTAGCCATGGGCAGCAGCCTAGATCCTATACTAGCTGATACAGTGATGATATTACTGCTAAACACCGTAATTATTACCTTTCATGTTACCTTTTCTCACCAAATAGATGACATTCTAAAAGCACTACCCACGGAGCAAATACAAACATCAGGCAAATTTAACATCTTTCATCCTCGCCTACTATTCACACACGAAGTAGAAACAGATAACAAAATACCGTTCTTAGATACACTTGTAATAAGACAAAGAGATGGCATTTTAATTAAAGACTGCTACCAAAAAACAATGAACGCATATGGCTATCTCAAATATACATCTCACCACCCCTTCATACAAATATGTTGCTAAAGGATTGTTACACATACTCATATCCCCAAGACATGAATCCTTTCACCAAAACAATTTTCAAACATTCAAACAAATCCTACAAAACAATAACTACCCTAAAAGCATAATTAACTGAATCATAAACAATTACAACCCAACACTATACCAAGCAACAACCTCCACATCTCACTACAATTTCACCTTCATGTGAGAATGAATTACTTGGATTAAACTTTGTATTGACATGATTATTTACATTCTTATGGTATAATTAAAAAAATGATATTGATGAAAAAAAAATTTCTCCAAACAACGTACGTTCGTAATTAACCCAGAAACGTCGGCAATAAAATAAAAATGGTATTTTTCTGAAGTACATCTAACCTGACCGCTCCTCACTACTTCAACCAATTTTTTGTAAAATTATGAGATATCCTCATGGGGTCTGCGTGAGAGGAATCTGTCGTTTGGCGTTCTTTACAGATCAATTTGGCCTGTCAAACATTTTTGGTCATTTGTGTCGATGGATGTCTTGATCCCTCGCCCTACTTTTAACCCTGGACAAATTGGGAGGATCAGCAGAGCGAAATGACCAGAAAAGACAAACTACCGAACTACTTTTTAACTATAACACGGACTCAATTCCAATTGATATCATTTACCTTGATCGTGGGTATCACAGACTCTTAATTTACAAACTGGAGGGGCTTGGAATCCATCGTACTTTCCTACATTTCCTAAATCTCTCTGACAGGAATTTTAAAGTCAAGATTGATCAAGCATATTCTAATACTCATCCAGTGCTTTGCGGAGTTACGCATGGGGTACAATTCTTGGGTCCATTGTTCTGTATTGTATTCTGATTGATTCATGATATCAGCACTTGTGCAGATGATACTAAGTTATTTGCAAATCTCTTCCGATTTGACCATGAGGCATGAATCAAACTTCCTGAAGGGATTGTTTTGGAAATTCAACCGTCACCAAGTATTTCGCTCTTCGTCGAGAATGAGCGAAATTGCTTACTTGAATGTAAGTACGTATTCGGCAGCAGGTTCCTCAATTTAAACAACTTATTTGATGAAAGGTTCACAAAACAAAATAAAATTATCAAGTTAAATTAGGTACCTAGGTACATTAAAATAAACAATTTCACTAGTTTTTATTATAAGAAATGGTTGTTTTCAGTTTTTTAAAATTATTATTATAATTTCTTTAATTTTTTAATATTTTCAAAAAAATGCTAGCGCCGTCAATTTTGAAAGTGTTCCGAAGATGTACCCATTCTTCATAGAAAAAATCTAATTAAAAAATTTAAAAATTTGGGGTTCCCATTTGAAATCAAAAAGTGACGTCGAAAAAAAAAAGACGATGGCTTTGGAATATGCCAAAAAATATAAGGAGGATTACCATTGGTAAATTTTTTGTATATGTTCAAAACATAGGGAAAACCTGAGCATATTCATACGCAAAATTCACCGTAATTGGTTTACAAAATTGTCAAAAAATTTCTTACTCGTGTAGCTCCTGTTGACAAAATCTTTTTGTACCAAACAAACATCTAACAGAAAAAAAAGCCAGAGTAGACGAGGACCAGGATGAAAAGACTAAATTCCAATTAAAAGTTATTGAAAAGATTAATATTTAAACAAAGTCAGAAATAAATAACTTTTCTAACTTGTAGTTTTGTGAATAGTCACTGTTGTATATATATANTATATACAAACTTACATATAACATTTGTATACAGCTCCATTTTCTTGATTCAGTAAACCGATTTATTATCCGTAAAAATAATAGAATTAACCATAATTGATTTACACTAGTGACTACTCAAATTATTTCTGACCCATGTACCTCCTGTGGACAAAACTCTCTAGTCCAAACAAAACAAACATATGAGAGAAAAAACAAATAAAACATATAGACGAGGACCAGGATGAATGGACCAAATTACAATTAAAATGTTATTGAAAATATTAATATTTAAGCAAAAAGCAGATATAAAAATCCTTTCTTACTTGTAACCTAGGTCGTAATGTTGTAATATTTCTCTAAACATACATCCACTCAATATTCATATATTCACACACACACACACACACACACACATATATATATATACATACGAACATACGTATCCACTTTTTTATACTGCTCCAATTTTTTCATTATGTAAACCGATTTATTATCCGTAGAATCATAGAATTTACCTTAATTGGTTTACAAAATTGACCAAAAAACTCTAAATTTTGACTAGTGACTATTAACATTATTTCTGACTCGTGTACCTCCTGTGGACAAAACCCTCTAGTCCAAACAAAACAAACATCTGACAAAAAAACCCACACAGCTAGGGTAGGCGGGGATCAGGATGAATCCACCAAATTAAATTAAAATGTTATTGAAAATGTTAATATGTAAACGAAAGTCAGATATAAAAAACCTTTTTTATTTGTAAGCTAGGTCGTAATGCTGAAATGAATATTTAAAGTAGATAAGAAGAGTCGGTTTCTGGCTTGAACGTTTAACAATTATGGAAATAGCCGTGGAGTTGAAAAGTATTTAGTGTTAAATGGTTAGAAATGTCCGAGGAATCGTGGTAGGGGATCGAGGGTGTTAAATGTACGCCGGGGAGAGTTGTATGTAATAATCTGTCGGAAAGTGGCTTGTGGTATGGGAAGATTAGTTGATATGAGGTCGGTAGGGGTGGAGCCCCGCCTCCGGCACCGCCCTCCCGTCACTACGAGCCGGGGGCGGCCGCGGCGAAACGAAGCAGTCGAGTGGGCCGCCAGTGGCAGGAATGTCCGCCTCGAGTGAAGGTGTCGTCAAGCGGCCTTCCTTCTGCATCGAGTCCCTTCTGGGCGAGGATGCGACAGGCAGCGAAGGCAGCATCTCCCCGGGCAGCGAGATCGTCCAGCCGACTTCTTTCAGCCGGCAGAGCCCTGGCAACCAGATGCAGCCAGCGGCACCGGCTTCTCAACCACCTCCTCTATCCGCCTTTACACCTCTGTACAACAAAAAACAAGCGAGCCTTCATCAGCTGCAGCTCGAATGGCTCGCGAGGACCGGCATGTTGTATGCAGCACCAAGGCTTCATTTACCAGGTACCTTACTAAGCCACAACCTGCCGTTCCATTCTTCCTCCATAAAATAAAATTTCATTACTTTTTGCCGTCTAAACTTTTGCGATATGAAAATTTCGTTTTTGATACACCATCGGCGATTAAAATGTCCTAAATTAGTTCATTTTATTCCCCTCAAACGTGCCCAAGGTACTCCCTCTCAGTAGGTAGATTACAAAGATATCAATGTATTGTATCCCACAATATTTGCTTCTAAAAAATAAAATATACAGTTATATTAGGTTGGTAAGAAAATAATGATTGTTTTATTTTTACAGTATATATGCTTATTTTTTATTCCTGGCATGTTTTTAACTATTCGGAGATGTATTGTCCATTGTTTGCAATAACTTTTTGCCATCTTTCAAGTGGCAGTCTATTCGTTTCGCATCTTTTGAGTGCATTAACAAACATACCTATACACCTTTCTATATATCTACAATTTTTTGTGCATTCTGTAAACCGATTTATAATCAGTAGCATCGTAGAATTTACCGTAATTGGTTTACGATATTGTCAAAAAAACATCTATATTTTGACTAGTGACTATTCACATTATTTCTGACTCGTGTACCTCCTGTGGACAAAACAAACATCTGATAGAAAAAAAACAAACAAATAAAACAGCTATGGTAGGCGAGGACCAGTATGAATCCATCAAATTACAATTAAAATGTTGTTGAAAATATTAATATTTAAACAAAAATCAGATATAAAAACCTTTCTTACTTGTGGGCTAATGTTGAAATAAAGATACACACACACACACATGTATACATACAAACATACATATACAGGTTTCTATACAGCTCAAAGTTTTGTCCAATCAAACAACATTGACCGAAATAAATAGTAAATAAATAGTACAAGGTGAAATGTCCGGAGAATGTGGCGGGTGTGATAAAATTTCCCAATTCAGATGAGTGAATAATTGTTTGGTCCTCAAAGCAACGGGGGCGTTGTCGTGGTGAAAGATTACACCTTTTTTATTTTCTGGATTTCAAAAAACAAAAAGGAAAAACAACTAAATAAAAAGGAAAAAAGAAAACCTATTCTGTTTGCTAGTGCAGGCCGTTTTTGCTTTAATTGAAGGTCCAAACGGGTTAGGTGTTCACAGTATAGTTAAATATTAACCGTTTGCCCTTGTGGTAAAAGCTCAAAATACAAGGGGCACCTGTCCCACCAAATGCACAGCATACTTTTTATGTGCGTTTTTTGTTTTGGAACGACTGGAGGCCGTTGACCAGGTTGGCAATACACTTTATTGAGGACTATATTTTTGTATGTGATTCATTTTTCATCACCCAGTAACCAATCTATTAAGAAATGGATCGTAAGTGACGATAGATGAGCAACGATTAAAGAGCAAATTGAGAGATCCGCCAAATTCTTACCGCTGGGATCCATGCAGCCTACTTTTGAACAAGTCTTTGGATGTGGTTTCCAATGGTTGTATGGGAAAAATTTAACATCTTCCTACTTCTCGGGTCGTCAAATAGAGATTTTCTTCTCGCCTATGCCTCAATATATCATCAACCTCAGAAGGACGTCCACTGAGCATCCAGCGTTCCATCTTGATGAACAAATTTCCTTCTCTAAATCGAGCAAACCACCGTTGGACTTTACAACATTAGTACCAAACACTACGCGAAATTTTCAGTTGCAACGGTCACATTGTTCCCTTTTAAAATACAGTAAACAATACCTTAAATGCGTTTAAAGAGTTAGTTTAGAGTTTTTACAAAGACATGATTATCTATTACATTATTCGACACAACTAAAGAAGTTGAAACAAAAACTGAGGAGAAATTTTAACTTAGGGATTAAACAAGCGTATATGTTAACAAAAATAATATAGATAAATAATGAAAATATTGAGGTAATTAATTCACTAATTGAAAAACGACACTACTTTCTTGCGAAACCAATATATAGATATATTTTTATAGAAATAGATCACGTCAGATCTGGTTCTATGAATCCAAACTTTAAATTCATAGTATTTGAAACAGTAAATTTCAAATTGTGAATATACGACCATATTTTTTATCTTTTTAAATTATTAATTAAAATTGTAAAGTCCTAAGCTCAAGAAAGAAACTGAGTGTTTTCTTTCTAATTCTTCATTCCTAATTTTTTCCAAACATATACATGACAAAACATGATTTATTTTGTAACCAACAGAAAAGTGTGCTAAGATAATACACAAATATAATTTTTACCGTTATCTGATCTAGCTAACGTATTACACCCGATGACTAAAAACGTATTTTCCAATGAGCAGTGTATCCATTTAAAATGTAATTGGGTAATTATACTACAATATAAATCTAATTACTTTTTATAATGACTGTTTAATTCAAAACATACATGTGTAATAACAATGTTTCAATCTTTAATCTGATGCAAGACCTACCTCAACCAACGTTATGCATTTACGTAATAGATTTCAAAAATATACCAAAGCAACGGACTTTTAAGAAATTTATTTAAAAAAAGACTAATTAAAGGTCACAACATTTTTTTAATGGAATTTGTAACATTGATATGTAAATTAGACAAAATTCGAACTATGTACATCCAAATGTACAGTTTTTAGATTAAAAAAATAACATAATTTTTACCAGTTAAACTGTTAAAATCATGTGAAACTGAAAACAGTAACAAATAAAACGCATGAAAAAGGAAATCTGAAGTTACTCTGGTTTGTCCTGGATGCTGGATGGAAAAGGAATCTTAGCCATTAAATGCAATAGATTTGCTTAATTTTCATTCATTCTGATTGATATTTAATCTGAATTGATATTTCGATTGATAAGATTGATTCAGTACTTGAAAAACCTTTGTTTATTTCTTGGCGTTCGAATTAATTTACGTGTATTAAGAAAACATCAATTTTCTCGCCGTTTTGACCTATCAGCGTGTTTTGCCTTCATCAGTAAGGATTTGGGTTTCCTCACTCTGATTGTATCCCTGCCCACACCGCTAAAGATGGTGAAATGCAAAAACGTTTTTCATATGAAGTGTTTCGGATTTTTTCCCATATTTTTCCTAATTGGTAAGGAAAACCCAAATTGTGAGATGTCTTCTTGGATTCTGCACAGTTATAAATGGATCTATATTTCGATCGTTTCCAATCATTTTATTGCCGTATTTGTATTTGTGCCTCACCCTACTTCTATCCTTGCCAACACCACTGAAACTAAGCGCAAAGACTTATTTTTATTAGCACTGTTTGTTGTCTGACGGGTTTTGGATGTTTACCAATAATAGTGATGGATTGGTGACGTGTTTCACCTCTTTGTAATCTGTAGTGATGGTTTGGGATGGTGCCTCACCCTGCTTATATCCTTGACTCACTTCTCAACAATGAAAAATGCCAAAATTGATTTTTCGTCTGTCGGGCGAGTTTCAGCTTTTTGTGATCATCCGTAGCGAGTTTTCTTTGGTGCCTCACCCCGCTTGTAGGGGCCCACAAATATAAAAGTCTTAATTAACAACAATAGCATAAATTGACGATGAAAAACATGAATTAGAAGATTTCGTTTTGAAGTCTTCGGTCTTCATTCGGTCGGTAGAAGATGCGGGCATTCATGTTTTCTTCAACGGTATGAATGGCAATTTTACAATCCTCAATGCCAGGTTTGTGTTTGTATCTCACCTTGTTTATATCCCTGTCCACACCACTGAAGATGGTGAAGTACAGAAGATTGGTTTTGGTGTGCCTATCATAGCAAACTTTCCTCTAACGGGCTATCGCTTTTTGCCAGCAGTAGTTACTGTTCGTGCCTCAACATGCTTATATCCTTACTACACAAATAAAAGTCCTGAAATAGTGAGATTTCCTCTTCAAGGCTGAGGCATAGTTAAGAAATCTGTAGTTTGGTCGGTTCCGATTATTTTTGGTTAATATTATCTTCAGACGCATCTTGGCTTTTTCAATGGTGGTGGTTTGGTTTGGTGCCTTACCCTCCTTATAATAACAATATATAATATATAAAAATGTAATAACAATATAACATAATATAATAACAATATTTGAAAATAGCATCTGTTGGATGTTCATTTCCGATCAGTTTTGTTTACCTACAGTTGCTGTTTCGGTCTGTATAAGCAAGGCGAGGCACTAACTATACCATGACAATGCAAAACATTTCCGAACATAACGGTCCTCCATTTCTAGATGGTTTGCTTTGTTAGACGCGTTTTAGTGGTCGGTCAGGGGTTATGGGCAGGCTGAGGCTCTAACTTAAACCCATCACTGATGGCGAAATGCAGCCCGCCTGGCATACCAAAATTCCAGACCAAGAAACCTGTAGTTAGACCTCATACATCAAGGAGAACTCAAGAATTGGTCGTTTTTACAAACGTGTTAATTAAAAGAAACGATACTTCACGAGATGGGATAGAAATAATAATTTTGCAAATGACGGGTTGATGATAACAAGGCGAAGCCAAACAGGTTGGGGAGCATACTACGAGAGAACGAGCGAAAGTGGGCGGACGATTGTATGCCTGCATAAATCAGATTTATCATGATCCACCTCTCCAACTTCTCCCCCTTTAACTCAATGTTGACTTTGAGTAGTCATAGCAACATCCCTCAACCGGCAAATATGTGGAGTCAATGAAACCGCCCTCACTCTACCTGTTTTCAGGGCTTTTTAACCTTTTCATTTAGTCCACGATGAACGATTCGTTTCGAAATGCCAATAAAAGTAATTTTGCATTACATTTATTAAATTTATTTCTTGCATGAGCTTATCGATTGAATTTGTTCGGATAAAAGGACCTGCTAAGCACCACTGTTAAAGAATTACAACAAACTCTGGCGTTGTTAATCCTATGAAACGTGAATGGTGGATCCTGGCAGGAGTTCGACACGATGAATTTCTTATTTGGTCCGACGAGAAATGTGTCTGGAAACAAAACTGCCTGTCTTTTGACTAAATGTAACTCTGTTTATAATTAACTTTGCAGAG